AGAAAATCCGAAATCCTAGAGGAAACTCTGAGAGTTTGCCGGAACAGGTGCGAGTTTAGCTTTTTGTCTTACCAATTGTCTCCCATTTCAAAATATGTCATTAGTTGTGTGTTGTTTTGGGGCTAGGAACACTTTCTAACATGTCCAAGAATTACAGTGACATCAGTTTTATTACTCAGTCTAGTGTCAAGTGATTATTATGTGAGTTTTCACAACTGATCTCCTTACACAGGATTGATGCTGTTTTGAATGACAACATGATCATGGAGGGTGATGCCAATGACCCCGTTCAACACTTGAGTTGTGAGTATGCCCGTGGTTCTATGCCAAATTAATCCTCTCAATTTTGCTTACAATAATCTTCTTCATACCAGCATTCAACTTAATTATTATTTTTCCAGCAGTACTCACATCTACACCTAAAAAGGAAATGCAAGCATTTACACCAAAGAGAGTAGACGTTCAAAGTTCAGAAGAAATAGACCTTGATGAGACATTCTACGAGCCAGCTGAGCAGGAAGTCATTAAAGTTGAAAAGGAAGTAAAGACCGATAAGAAAAAGAACAAGAAACGGAAAAGAATAGTATCTCCTAAAAAGTAAGTGCATCTCAGCTGTCCTTTCCTCTCTGGTAGTAAATGATACTGAATTGGAATCTCTTACTTCACTCATAAGCCTCCCCTTTGTTTTCCCAGACATGTTTGTAAACTTCCTCGCTGTCCGGACCACCAGCCTTTCTTTGAAACAAGTGTGAGTAGGAAAAAGACACTTCAGAAAACTGAGTAAAGTGATATGTCTCTTCTCCTTGTAAACTTATATTTTCTTTCCAGGTCCGAAAACTAAATATGTTGTCCCCAAAAACAAAAAAGATGGGAACTACAAGTCGCAGGACACGTTCACCAAAAGGTAAAGCTTCTACCTGTATTCAAACTTCATACTGTTGATTATGAAATTAATTATAGTGGTTCTATTCGTAGGTTTTTGGTCATTGGATATGCCTAGTACTCAGGAGATAAGAACACGGAACCAGGATTGAAAACCAAATCAAGAATGTCACTATGGTTCCTCATTTATCATTTTGTTTGTTTGCATGTACTCCCAATTTTAATTTTGTTTTTATGCTTCCTTACTCTTAGTCTACCATCCAAGTAACTGGTCACTAGTTTGTACTCTCTATGATCTCTTATTACCATTTATTTCAATTTTATTTTGTGTTGGCTAGTAATTTTTAATTTCAAAGTGTTGAGCCTAGTCTCATAGGCATATGCTATTGTCTCGTAATTTTTAATTCCAAAGTGTTGAGTTTAGTCATGTAGGCATATGCTATTGTCTCGTAATTTTTAATTCCAAAGTGTTGAGTTTAGTCATGTAGGCATATGCTATTGTCTAGTCTTTACTTTTAATTTCATGGACTCTCTTTCAATACACTGTTGTTGAGTCAAATGCTTACATATTTATATCCTTCCTTTCAACATTTTCTCATCACTGCCAAAGGGTTTCAGAAATATTTTTATCATACTTTTCGCATTTGACAAGGAATCCAAGGCATGTCTCCTTTAGATCTGGCAAGATTTATTTACTGACATACTTTGGACATAAAATGATTCAAACAAATGAGAACACAATTAATTTTAGTCTAGAGGTTTATTACATTCAACAAATACAGCAAAGGACATAATTTTCTATACCTGAGGATGAGTAGTTGAAACTATAAATCTTCTCCCGTCGGTCTTCTAACTTACTCTCAAACTACAATAGAGAAACCAACATTGTGGTAGGGTAAATAAATGGGCTGCACTACATATCAACTTGGTTGTTTTCTCCACTTGCAGCTAAGCGTTTGATTACTTTTGGAGAAAATCACATAATAGAACATTTACATAACTATATATGATAAGAAAACTTTTAATTCCTTGAAAATTTGTCTGACTTACTCTTTGGGACCTTCACCAGCCCACACTAAACAGACACACACCAGCAACAAGCACACATTTACTTCAAATTCCTTTTCGCAACCAAACGCGCTCATGGAAACTCAAGTTTCCAAACAGCAAGAAGTGTTATTTTAGGTCTGAAGGAGATACAAAAACAAAAAATATGAAGTCTAACTCATTCACAATATTACAATTATTACTCTCTAATATACTCTTTTCCTTCTCAAGAAATTTTCTTTGACAAGTCAACAGTCTATGAGTGCAAAGAATCGTCTGGTTCGAATTCTGCAGCATGTCAGTGAGTAACGTAAATATTCACTATGTCTCCAGTGGACATCACATCACAAAAACAAAGCACTTTTGAAGTCCAGCAGCACTGAAACGGTAGCAGCACTCCATCCACAGGATATCTTCGAAATATCATACATGACAAGTGAGAGCAAATTCCTCTCACATTCCAAGTCTTGCTAAAGCAGCAAATACATATTTCTCCAACTGAGCTGACTCAAAATTCTTGATTTCTCTATCAAAAAACGGCACCTGCAACAAGAAACAAAGCACACAAAACATTAGTACAAAGCAAATGTTTGTAAACATCCAAGGGGAACATAACCTCCACAACCTTACAGCAAATACACTAAATAGCGTAGTAGCGTAAGAGAGTATTCTAAGAAACAGCTGCGACGATATTTTTGTCAGTTTGCTATGATATTTGAACAGTAAGAAGAGCGAAATTGAACACAAAAGAGCAGTGTATGATAACGCCCGTAATGCGTAGGCAACCAAGATAGTGATTAGAACGTTAAAAATTTTTAAAATGAGGATGTCCAATGCTAAAATGTGAACTTAGACTAAAAAAAGTCTCTAGATATGCCGCTGGTCAAATCATTTTGGATCTGTAACACGAAGCAGCCAGAGTGACGAAAACGGTGACGGCAAGGTGCGATGGCGTCACTTGACGACATCTGTTTTGCAAGCAGTGTAGATTCATGAAGACGGAAGCAAATCAAAAATCTGGCCAGGCTATCGTATTCTACGGTTCTTGAACCATAAATACAAACCTTTGGTTGAGTTGAAAACGTTCGAGCGGACCTAGGCGACGCATCCGCGGAGGGCACTGTTTACGTCTATAGCGATGCCTTGCGTCTCGCCATCTTTGAGGAGTCGTAGCGCGACTTCGATGGGGCGATAGTATCGACCCAGAGTATCAAATCGATCACAAGGCCTTCCCCTTCACGTACGCATTAGAGTTAGATGTCAGAATGCTGCGGTTTGCGCGCTAGAGGGGCTCAAAGTTGATGTCGTCAGGTGACGCCATGGCACCTTAAAGGGTTAAACAATATTACACATTTATCAGTTTTTTCTTTCTGACTTTGAACGGTTGTTGCCTTCATATTTTGTATTTTGTAGAGTTTAGTTGTCGCAGTTCCTGTGGCAGAACCACCTGATGCTCAGATACATGCTGCTGTTGAGCGAGAGGTGCTCAACCAACAGGTAGTGTTTAGTTTTCCCCATGGTTTGTCTTCTACCTTTGTCCTATTGTAAGAATAAGTCACTTAATAATTGTTTGTGTTGCTTCCACTCTAGGATCCACCCAGTGAAATGAGTGTGCCAGAAGACAATCAACAGGTTTTGTCAGGATCACTGGCCAAGAAGGAACTTACAGTGCAAGAAAGCCGAAAGGTATTTTTACTCTCCTTCCGAATCAAAGTGCAAATGCATCGTCTTATTTGTCGTATTTGAAGAAGTCACTTCATGTATTTTCGTTTTGCTTCCATTCTAGGATCTGACAGGTCAAATGGATGTTGTGCCTGAGAACAACTCAGTGGATAACATTGTAGAGGAACAGCAGGTTAGTCCTACTTTGAATTCATTTCTGTTCTGTTTTTGAATGAGTGAAACTGGAAAAGTCATGTGAAAAACAGCTATTTTGAGTATGAAATCTAGATGCTAATTAAATCGAGAAAACTAAGTAGCGCAAGAGGCATTTTAAAGTTTAGAAATTTTAAATTATCTATTTTGCTACCTAGTTACGTCCTACTACAGATGTACTAAACCTTAAACGAACCGCAATGGACTTACTTACATGAAACAGAGAGCCTTTTCTTGATTTAATTAGCATCTATATTTTATACTTCAAATAGCTTTTTCTTGCCTGACTTTTACGGTTTTACTCCTGTCTTACATTAACTTTATCTTTGCTATCACCACTAAATATTTATTTGCTCTTTTAGGATGTCTGTTTTTTAATAACATGTTTCTAATTTTTGAAAGGATACTTCATCATCATGTTCAGGCCACTCTTTACTATCAGAAACCAATGAACCTTTCTTTCTAGAAAGTGAATCAGAAGATAATGGAACAGGACCTGTGGGTTACGATCCTGATGACCCTGATGAGCCGCATAACTCAGAGAGCAGTGGTGTTGAAGATAGTGATAGTGATGAAGATGATAACGATGAAGATCTCTTTTCTTTTGATCACCAGTCATTGGATCAAAAAATGGTGCTCATTAACAATCCATCCATCAGAGAAATTTTGTTGCTTGACTTGGCACAGATGATTCGCCACAAGTTCACTTACGAAGCTCTTATCAATGGCTTTGAAAACAAGAATGCTCTTTTTGGACGCAAGTTCTTCCCAACCTCCAAGAAAGAACTTTGGAGAGTTCTTGGTAGGAAAAATTCAGGTATAGTCTACCATGCATATTGCGATAAGTG